AAATATAAATTGTTACAAATCGCCCCCTTAACATGGAAAAACGCCCACATGGGGGCGATATCGCCCCCGTTGAGTAACACTGCCCTAACCGAACCAATCTCTAGCCGAGTATAGTGGGACTGATTTCTTCGAAATATTAGATGTAATAAAGACAGACATTTTTCCAGTACGACCAGAGTGACCGAAAAGTTGTAAATTTTGGAAATTTCCGTTGGACAACACCTGGTCCTAAAACGAATTAGAAAACAAACGACGGACAATCTATTAAATTTAACGTATTTAGATTTTTACAGCTATAGTGAGAAACGTTTAAAATTTACAAGAACCCTGTCGCGTCTTTTGAGATATACTAGTGACGAGAATAAATAGGCATTTGAAATTGACCGGTATGGGCACCCTGGGGATTTGGCAGCCCGCGTGCGTGTACATACCGCACACCTAGCGGGACCGTCTCTGATTCCACACGTAAGGAGCTATTTGACTAACAAGTAAGTTGTTAAGATTTAAAAAGTAAAGAATATTTTATGTTATTTTTATGTACGTTTCACTACAAAGCTATATTTATCAAAGCAAGAATTGGCATTTAGAGGGCGTATGGAATAAATTGGATCTAATAACAGAGGTAATTATATTAAACTTGTTCATTTATTAAGTACGTCGGATAAATAATCTATTAAAAATACATTTAAAGAAAGAATTAACTAATTGCCCCTGGAAGTCGGCTTCTTATAGAAACAGCTTTTCTATCATCAAATGCCACGGCACACCACTGCTATCATTCCCCACGTTTAAACTTATTTAAAATAATGATTTTTCCTTAGGGAAAAATAAATCTGTAAATTTAATTATTTTATGTGGTTAAATAAAATTTTTATTTCTTTATATTTTATCAGATTTCTGCTTGTGGTTACATACTATGCTAATACAAGCGAATAAGCTTAAGACATTACGAGAAATACCTGTCTGATATGAAAATAAGGAAGCATTGTCGCCGCGTGTTTTCTTTTATTTAATTGTTAATATTATGGACAATTTCCTTATGTGTACACGTTACACTTCAAATGTAACAACATATCTAAAAATGAATACGAAGAAATAAAAAGTTAGCCGTTCCCAGAAGACGTGACACCTCCAAAGACATATAACCTCAATTTTCAGAAGCCTGTTTTTTCGGAAAAGCTTGGGAATCGGGTCCTTAATATTTGGACAAGGAACCGTTTTGATTAGAGCTACGTGCTCGGCAAGTTTCGTTCAAATCGGAGACTCGAACGACCGATCCTCTCTTTGTAAGAGGGATTTTCGTGCGGTTTCAGCCAGTTCACAACCAGAAGTCAAAGCGACTAGAAATAGGACCTAAAACCCCAGAACCATAAATAATGGCTGAAGTTTCTTCGACACGTTTGGATTCGTTCCCGGGATTCCAGAGCAATGGGCTTAAACTACTCGAGCGTCCGGGGCTAATTGCTCTTTGGAAAAATCGTCGTATAATATCAAATAACTCGCGTTCTTGAAAGTATTTAAGAATTATTCCGTATCATACCGATTTCTTTTCACCGTTAAAAATTTATCAAAGACAATTTGTAAATATTTTCAGAACAGCAACGTAATTACAATCACACCAGAGAAATGGACGACGTGATCCGAATGACCCTTTGAGCGAGGAAAGGAAAAGTATTCGCCCCCACCAGTGGGCGAGTGGTCTCCGTTGCCGCTTATCGTAGTGGTGACCAGACCCTAAAGACTGGGAGGTTCGTCGTGGGTTCGCGCCACGGTCGGACAGGCTGGCTGCAANTTTCAAGAAATCAATAAACTCTAATTAAAACTAAAACTAAAGGTTACCGTGGAGGGGAACATAACAATAAGCCTATAGGCAATTTTTGAAACCCCACACTCCATGGGGTTTATCAATAATCAAAAAATAGAAAAACATCGAGGACTTCCGATGGCGACTTTTTTTGTTCTTTCGTGTTGTAGTTGTACGTGAGGCAACAGCTTTTCCTTGCGCATTATTTACTCGAATTCTTATTGTTATTCGCAAACTATTAGCATGAATTTGCTTGTTTTCTATACGAAAACCTTTCTATATAATAATTAAATAATTTAATACAGTACAGTACTTCACTAATTTAAATTGGAAGTATTTATTAAATCGAACGCATTCGTTAAAAATCGTCCGAAAATTTACCTACAGTTGGTTTTTTTTCAATAATTGTATTTATTAATTTATTATTATTATTTTACTTTACGTACATTTTATATTAAGATAATAACGATTAAAGTTTATTTTAACATATCTTTTCAAAGTTATTATTTTAATTCGTCTTAAATTAGAAATGCAAAATAAAGAAAAGACGTTGGTTTTATAAACATTCAAAGTAAAACTTTTAATACAAAGATAGTAATTTTTCTTACTCAATACAAAATATGAATCAACTGTTCTTTACACGTAATTTATTTTTACATATAAATGAACGAAACACAGTTTAATTCTGCATATGAAACTGTTATAGAAAGATATTCTGTAAGTAAAATATATTAAACTTTATACATAAAATTTTATTTACAGATAATGTGCACACAAAAATATCAGTAATAGAATTTTATATACAATATCTGAAGCGCACCATCTAAAATTCTCTTTTTTGTAATGACTAGAATCATCTCTCAAATAATACCATCAATGTCTTTTTTCTTTAAGTACCTTTTTCTTTCATTTCTTAATTATGTACTATTAAGATTCAGTAAAACATTATTTTAATGCGTGTTTTAGTATTAGCTGCAAAATGGCTCCTTTTACACACTTCTGATGCGTCGAAACTGGGAAATGTGTCGATAATCGTCGATCCGAAGGAACGGGGGAAGGGGAATTGGGGATTTAGCGAGATTTTGAGCCGAGTTTTTCTAATTTTCTTTCGAATTACGCTTTGCGACGGCTCGCGTGCGGTTGGAGTGTCTCGTCTCTCTGTGACATTCTTGGTGTGTTTCGGATTGTCTTTTTTTTTTCTTTCCCTTTGGCCCCTCCGGGTCTCTTACTATGTACTGTACGTGTGCACGCGCTGTCTTTCTCTTTGATCGCGTATAACGCGCACCGGTCCCCGCCCCGGCCCTCCGGCTCGAATACTACGCAAAGAATCCATTCATTTTCCTTATCGTGTCTACTCCCACCACCATATAAGACGGATTTATATTCTTTTCAAGTCGATTCATTACTTCGTCTGGATCGTTGTTCTCCTTCGGGTAGACCAATACTACTTTGTCATTTGGCGTCCGTATGGGTCTTTTTACTGCGTCCGCGTGAGACTGTTTTGGGAGCGTGTGATGACACGTGGGTGTTAAAGTTCCCGGGAATTCAGCTAGTTTTTTTAGAGGCTTTCGTTTTCGTCGACCACATTATTGTATGCCTTATGTAGATTGTCGAACAGGGAGGCTGCATCTGCAAGGTCGAAGCGTGCTTGTTCTTTTAATGCTTTACTAAAATTTCTACTCTCATCTAGAGCAGATCGGACAGGACTAAATGTTCCTAATTGGATTTTTCGCTAGTGTAATTATAAGTACGGCTTTTGAAGACTTTTGTACAAAAAGTCCGAAAGTAGGCTTAGAGAAAATCGGGTAGTAATATGGAACCTTACCGTATATTTTCAAAAAAATGCTTTAATGTAGCCAAAAACAAATAGGAAAGGACAAAAAATGTTAAATAATTACCAAATTATTTACTCCAATGTATTTTATCGCAAAAATGCTTTTATAATAGAAAAATATGACCTCCATCAACAATATATATTCCAGCAGCTCTTTTTCGATATTCTCAGGAAGAATTGGCTTTCTACCTAGTGTCTTTTTCACAAATTGCTCTGGAGGAATGTCTGCTTGCAAATAGAAAGTTCGGAGGAGTTGAGTTCCATATTACTGTAAAAGCACCAATGGGGTCCGTATTTCACGCATCGCCATCTCGAATTAACTTATGTCTGTCAAGACCAAAATTTAAAAAACGTGAACATCACACAGATTAATATGTACCCCTAAGTCTCTAGAACGGAATACATGCACCGGTGAACCTACAACTACACGATTTATATTTTAAAAATAATTAAATTCACTTAGCATTCAAAACTTGCGAATTTTGAAAAAAACAAATTTGCTGATTAAATACGGACAACCGTTTAACTGAAGTAAAACGGGTTTTCCCCTCGCTATGGATGTCTGCCTAGTTCAGTTCAGCCACATTCCGCTACAGCTCGCCTTTATTATCAGTTCGAAATGGGGTGGTTCCATAATACCCGCAGTGTTCCATAATACCACCTTCTCCTCTACAATATATGCGCCTTTCTTAAATTATTTGCAGCAGTTTTTCCGCCCTGTGAGCATTAAGAGGAATTCTTTTTAGCACGCTCACTTAAGGTTCGGCCAAGACCACCATGAGATGACACGGTGGTGTGGGATGGGATTTGACACATTCGGACGGACCATCCAGATTCGTCTGGATTTGTTTAGTCTAGGACCTCTAGATTGACACGCGAACTGAACGTGTTCATTGCCGGAGTTAAGCACTAACTACAGCTGTTTGACACTCGTTACGCTACAAATCCTCGTTTGCCTACAGCCAAAGTTAATCTGTGCCTATCGTATTATAATAACCGCTCGGCCATCTGGCCGTCATTTGCAGCAGCAGCGGCTTGTGTATTAATGCACGATTAATTTCGAGTAAAGGTGAAATTAGTATGTCGGCTTTAGAGTTAAATTCACTCCACTAATCGGAAACAGAAAGTAAAGCGCAATAGAATTTTATTACACACGTTAAGTATTGTGAATTGTTTTATTTAAATCGTTTAAAATTATTATGCGCGAAAAATATATTTAAAATGAATATTAATAAATTTATTTTGAAAAATATTAATTCTTTTAGAATAATAATTTCTTGACTCATCCGATTTTTTTAAAGCATTCGCTCTTTTAAATTTTTATGATTTTTTATTTATGTACTGTACTTTTAATTCGAACGAAAAGAATTTCACTTTTATCCTCCAGGTGGCACTTCAAAGTTTAAACATCCAGGATTTTCTTGTTTTAGAGACGAAAGGTAAGTGCGTTTCATTCCGACCATTTAGAAAATATTTTAAACATTTTATAATATTAACACTTTATTATTTAATATTTTACGATACTGAAATTTCGGTTAGATTTACCTTAGCCAACAAGGCCACGCTTCCGACTATTCGTGGTCCAGACGGACTCCTCCCGGAGGGGAGCCGCCGAGTGCCAAATCTCGCTAGTTATTGATTCACGTTAGTTCTTGAACAAAATAAATAAATAAAAAGGAAACGTCTACTAAAAATGTAGCTAAAGTCAGTTATTTTTGGTGAAATTATCGAGGTTAAAATAAACTCGTCGTGTTCGTTGCCAGCGTTAAGCTCTTAAGTACAGCTATTTGACACCTGTTACACTATAATCCTTCTTTGCCTACGGCTCTTAAGGTCCCAAAGGTATCATTCAGAGCTCGAATTTAGCCAAGTAAAATGTGTTTACTCCGGGGAGAACACTACAAAGGCGCCGATAATTACTGCGATCCACCCGTTATGTTGACTAAAGGAGAAATCTCCAACTTTTTAGAATATCAATCTTATATTTCTATTATAGACATAAAATTGAGCGTAAAGAAATATATAAAATGAGATTTAATTTATTTTATGACACGGTAGAGTCCACTTATTTATTACCATTTTAGACTCTCTCTTGACAATAACTGTCCTTAAGTGAGGTTAATAAGGCAGAAATTAGTAGAAATTTATCAATATTATAAGTGAATTTAAAGTAAGAAATGTTTCTTTAAAAGTTTCTCCCCCTCCCCGCCCTCTCGTCTTACGTCACCTCTCCTCTGCACACGTGTTCGGCAATCCCCCCGTTTGTTTCAGCATTTGGGGATTAGTTTGCCTAATGATGCCCGTCAGGGCATCATTAGGCAAACTAATCCCCAAATGCTGATCGGGCGAAAACGTTGGCACTTTTTATTAACAAAAATTTTGCTGGTTTATAGGTTTAGTGTTTTTAAGAATATCTTATAAAGGGAAAGAAAGTGTATCAATAATTCTCATAGAATTGATGAATTTAAAATGCTTATTAGAGAAATTGAATGATAATGTTTGTCAGAGTTTATAATGCTAAGATTACGTTTACGTTTGAAACCTTCTATCTATAATGTGTAATTATTTGTGAATGAATTGGTGGTTTGAAATGTGACTGACTTTATTGCTTATTGACAGAAAACGTACGATAATTTGACGCGTTCGCCTCTTTACTGTACTATTGATAGATACTAGAAAATCTACTTGCTTGTAGGAGATAACACTAGTATAACAGTTGTATTTACGATCTGAACTCGTGGCAAATATCACTTTAGCTATTTTAGAATAAAAATTTACACAACAAACAACTGGTTTTTTTTATATTATTGAAATGTTTCTTGCAATATTTGCAGATAATCTTCTGTAATAGGAAAACGAAAAACAAAAAATGGAAGACAAATTACCTTCGAAAAGTATTGAAGAAATAGAAAATGCACACTCAAGTTTAGATATGTTCATTGACGAAGACCTTACATCTTCCTTTAATCTACAATCTCTTAGTACCATTGTCGACGAGTTAATAGAATCGAATGTTAGTTTACAAGATTGCGACGAGAAAGTGGATCAGGCTTGTTACTCGGAGTTAACTCGAAAATCTGGAAAAAATACGGTTGAAAGTTGTAATCTGTCCTTAAGTTTAGTTGCAAAAAGCGATGAAATTGCTGATTTAATAAATTTATCATCTACTCCGATAAAGCGTAAGTCGTCAACCAAAATGAAGAAGCTACATGAACTTTCAGACATTATTGTTGATAATTCGACATGTGGTGAAGAAACAAACCACAACAGTGGCAAAACTAAATTTGCTGTCTGTGATATGTCTATCAGTGTATTATCTGATGAAAATGATGATATATTTACGTGCAAGGTTTCGGACGATAAAGAGGAAAATGTATTTACTTCGTGCAATAGTCCTCAAGTCTCTCCAATTGCTAAAAATCAGATCTTCCAATTCAGTCTGTCGGCCAGTGCTGCTGTAGAAAATCGGACTACAAAAAATGAGAAGAAAGACGATCTTTCAGAACAATTGACGGAAGTTAATAAGGATTTATCGTTAAAAAAGGAAACAAATGTAATTTCGAAAGAAGGACCTTCGGCTAAATCAGAAAATTTCGAGCCATCCCGTAACCGTAAACAAACGCAATCGAATAAGATCAAGAAAAGAAAAAAAAAGACTCGTATTGTACGAAATCGCATTAGCTGTAATAAAGAGAATCGTTTAGAGAAACGAAACGAAACGAAAACCGGAGAATCGTCCGTAAAAGAAACAAAAAAACCAAAATATGTAATCGAAGATCCTTTAGAACTCGGCGATATAAACGATCCGGAATGGGAGAACGTGAGATGTTTGAATACGGATGACGAACGTTACAGCGCAGTTAAAGCTTGCTGGGGTTCGACAAGAGTACCCAAACCAAACAAGGATCTAACGAGACACAACTACAGATTACGTAAGATGAAGAAGGAAGATTACAAAGCAGCAGTAAACGATACGAGAAAAGGAAAACGAACGGCTACTAGCGGAGAGGTGGACATCGTCGATGACAAACGTCGCAAAGTAGAAACAGCCTTTTGCACGGAGACTCTCGATCGGAAGATCGATCAAGAACGTCAGCTGTACAAAGAAAGTCGCGATCAAGAAGAGCAGAAATATTTCATGGACTTACAAGAGATCAAGCGCACATCCTGCGAAACCAAACAATTACTCGAACAAGTGTATTTGCAGAAGATTAAGAAAACTAAATCATCATCTAATGTTTATAATCCTCTTATTGAGAGAGTGGAAAAGTGGAAGATGTCTAAAGAAGTAAAGTTAAGAGCTGAAGAATGTCGGGAAATTGACAACGCGAAAAGACGTTTCGATAGTGCTAAGGGAAGACTAGAACATAATTTCAATGTGACTTTAAATAAACTTAATAAAGCTAGAGAGGAAGTACTCAAATTTAATAAATTTTACTGTGGATTGAGTAAGTCAGATCCAACAGTACTAAAAGGTAAAAGACTGAAAGAGGTTAGAATAATCGAGGAAATGTATAAAACCTATGATAAAGTTTATGCACCAGCTCGTATGTAAGATATTTATTTCCATACATTAACTAAGGAACAAAAATTTCGTTGCCGATATCTGTTTTTAAAAAGTTACCCAGATTAATTTTATCAGCTCTTTTAATATTTCGAACATTATGTTTCCTCTTTACCAGTCCAAAAAACGAAAAAAAATGTAATATATATTGATAACGTGACTTGTTTACCAATAAATTTTTCTCTTAAATGTAAAATAGATTTAATTTTATTAAAAATTCTTACTTTAATGAAATTTTTCTTGTATTTGATTGCTGAATTTTCAATCTTCATGATTAATTTACTAGATATTTTTATTAGCATACTTTTAAAATGATTATTTTTTTTATAAGAGACACGTTCTCTAGATAATCCTACGGTTTTTGGTCTAATCTGAGCTTTTTGAATAAAATTTTATTCTCTTACACTTAGAAACTTGCTTGTTAGAGTGAAGTTACAATGAAATTTTATATGGAACATAAGATAGAGATCATTGTCTTTTCATTTCACTAACAATCCGTCTTTTCCTTGTTTACACTAAACGAACCGAATTTGTTAACCTAACGTCAAATTCCGTATTTAATAATGTTTCGCTCGTAATTCTCCCGGAACCGGAAACTACCTGTAGCATTTCGTGACACGTTCAAGGGCGCCCTTACATTGGGGCACACGCTCCCTCTTTCTTTTCGAGTTGCTCTTTTCTTAATCCCAAGGAAGCTCTGAGATTTTATTTTTGAATTAATTACTCATTTTTATCACAGAAAACTTTTTTACTGATGACAAAATTAAAATATAAAAATTTGTTGTAGCGAGTCTTCATTGTTCGGTCGAGGTATCGCTGTATTTGATTAACGCGATTTTGACATACGCGGTAGCATCGAGGGATTAATTAACTACGTTAATCGAGGGATACCATTATGTAGGCCTATATGTATATATAATGTATATTTTTATATAATGTAATACATAGAAAAAAACGCTGTATTTAGTCTAAGACATACGTCACAATTCGTTTTCGTAGTGTCCTATCTCTACAGTTAATATGGGGACAGATGGAGACCGTACACAGTACCCCTACCAAATTTGACAAATATTTTATCAATTTAGAGATATTCGGAAAAAAAAAATGTAGAAAAATCCAGTGATAAACGTGTTTCTATTGTTACGCGATAAAATTTTCTTTGTGACAACAGCAGTAGCCTTCTGTAACATTGTCATAATGTCGCATTAATTTGCCCATGAAATTTAATTCGTTTATTTAAAATCTGTTTTTTTTTAATATTTTGAATCGCTACCCGAATAAGAAGTTCAGAGTTTATTTCTAAACATTTATTATAAATTTAAATTTTGTTGCAATAATGATTCATTTCAATAAAAAAATACAGATATTAGTTTATAATCATGTTGCATTTAGTGGTAGTAAATATTATTAGGTTTGAATCCTACTTTTAACATTTTTTATTACAATATCTGTTGTTGTTATTAATTAGCAGAAGATAACAGACGTTGCTGTGACTAATGCTTATTATAACCCTTATGTATACTTGCTCGATAATTTTTCCCAATCAACCGATATAATGTGTTTGTATTCTATTAATATAAGGAAAAAAATCCGTATTAAGATATACAGTTTTATTTTTTTATATATATGTATAAAATACAGCACAGATTTTAATAAAGGTTACAATATTGATTTTACAAAATACAATATTTATTTATTACAATTAATACAATTACATTTTATTAAATTTTTATCGCACAATCGTAGTGTTATCTTAGGTCAAAGGAATAGACAACTGTCTTCCACTCTGACTTCGATCATCTTTCTTCACCCTCTCGGGCTGACTTTAAGCGGCGTACACCGCCATTATTATTGTTCGAGGAACACTGGAAAAAGATTATATTTACATCTATTAACTATAAATAACTAATCGAATAGTGAGATTATAGTCACTGTATCGAAACCGTGTTGTTTCGGCACCGCCGTAGAAGAAAATTTTAAATTTTTTTTCGATATAAAATATTTTAAGAATTGATTCAAAGCTTTTATAATTTAAATGTAAAATTTGTAGTTTTTCGATAGAAATTTAGCGAATGTTCTAGTATGAAAATATACATACAGTTGAACCTGTCTATCCGGATTTTCACGAGAAAGAAATGTGAATTTGAGATAAACGGGTTTCGGGATTTAGAGGTTCCAACACTGTAAACAGTAATTGGTTTGATTGGAGGTACGGTATTTTATCAATATTATACCATAGCAATACAGTATTCGTCTGTGTTACGTAAGTAAAGAAAACATTATTCAACATATCTTAACAGAAAGGGTTTCTTAATTGTTTCTAGTGGCTGTCTTTCTTCAAGCAATGAGGCAAGTCGATCGGAAAAAAGCCTACTACAACAGATGTTTCCTGTGTACTATAAGAGATGTTTCTCGCTTTCAATTTATGCTATTAAAATGTAGTGCCGAGCTGTGAATGAATTTATGCTATAATTCAAATAACGTCGCATAAACAACCAACGACAATCGTTTCTTTTATATGAGAAAACTTTACCTTCTACGTACGATCTTGCCATTTCCCGACCCGAGATGGTGCTTGTGTGTTGAAAATGCGGTATATAGGGCTTGTGTGTTGAAAATGCGTTCTTTTTGACACTGCCGGTATAATATTGTATCATGAAAAGATTGTCGTCGTACCGCTGTAATGTTTATTTATCTTAATCGCCTGCATTCGCACGGAATATTGGAGAAAGTGGAAATCATAGAGCTATCAGAGTGGAGGGCAAGCGGGAAAATAGATTCGAGTTAAAGTACCGACAGTTTCCACTTAAAGAGAATGCATTATGTGAGATTAGCAGCGGGTCACTGGTTAATCCCCAAATGACCACTTACTCTGCAACAGGTTGGATTAAACCCGATCTCGGAGTCTGTTGGATGGCTAGGAGGGCAAATCGAGCGGGTAGGGGGTGAGGAAGCTGGCAGGTGTCCATAAATGACAGGAGTCAGGTTCAACAAAATAACAAAGCATTTATTAAATAACTAAATCTAAAGTACAGCAATTCTAAGGTTAAATGCGGTTATATTAGAATACTTACATAAAAAGGGCGACTAATCTCGCAACTATGTCGCTGACCTAATTTCTAGTTCGAGAGAGAGAGCGCTTTTACAAATTCTAGATCCCCTAAATACCTTTCGGCGTAATGGAGCGTTGGCGCAATCGTCTATATGGAAGAGGTAGGAGTCCTCGGTATCTTCTATCCGATGTCCTCTCCCTTTAGCTGGATCGGGTCCGCTGTATGGAGGTTCGGGAGTCGAGGTGGCACTATCACCAAGTATAACTTCCTATGACGAATCGCCCTCAGCTTCCGGACATTCGAGCTTTTATATCATTCGCGTGGGAAAACTGACACTCGATTGACTTTTGTTGACGATGACGGCGCATTCTTCACACCTAAGTGTAAACTTTCTCAGTTAGTTGTCATACAATCGGTGAAATCCGATCTAGTTCAAATTCTTCGGGTTTTTTCCGAGGATATTTTCAATTAATAGAAAATTTAGATTTTTTTAAGAGTCCTGTAAAAATCCGCGGGCTCACAATTATAAGAAAAATCATTATATTGTGTGACAGGAAAACGTAGACAGTTTCGATTTGACGCGATTCGTCTTAGCTAGGCTTTACTGTACATAAAAACGACGTTAGAAAGAAGGTGACAACTTCAACTTAAACAGAATCTATTGAACCTATTTATTATGACATTTAAACTGACGTATGACTATTCTTAACCAAATTTTATATATAACCTGAGAAATTAATTTAAAAAAAATCTCATCTTTGAAATGAAATTTGGAATCTAAAACTATAAATATGTTTCAATTGATCACCAGTAATTCCATTTTTGATTTCCTATAAATGAAAAATAACAACTTATCGAAGTTTATTTATAATGAAAATTATTTCGGAAAATCTCATAAAAAAGGAGGAAAAACGAGAAAATTTCCGCTTAATTCAAGTTAAATGTTTTGCAGTATTATTGCAGAGATATTTGCATACCCCGCAAAACATGGAGTAAAGTATACACTATATTCCATGCTGCGAAAGTGATCGGTTGCTAGATGCGTATCACGTGATTGTTACGTGGGGGGTTTTTTCAATACAGCGTAAAAGTAGTTTTGGTCTGTTTGTTATTTCTTTTGAAAAATTATTAGGCCTTATTGGTAAATATTACAAATTGTCATTTATGTTTTTTTATTGAGAAAATAAAATTATTTTTTATGTAATTTTGAGGTAATATTTTGTTGTTTTTTATTGTAGTTATTACCCATACAGTTGGGCTTATATTTTGATTTGTTTTGTATTTATGCATATTGGGAAACTCTCCGTTGGATTGACGTAAAAATTAAATTTTTGTGTTTTGCTTTTAGGTGGGTATGGTTACACTTTGTTTTTTTTTCCCGATAGTTCTCTTTATGATTTAAAATTTTTAAATATTTAATTGTTTTTGTTTTATCAATTTTGTGTATGTAATATTATACTTAATTAATTAATTAATACCTAGCTAGAGGCTTCTTAAATTCCACAACAACGCTTTCAACCTGTTCTATACGTCATCTTCATTTTTTAAAAGTATAACAGTTAAGAACATATTTAAAATATAAAAATATTTGAAATATATAGCGATATTATATTAAACTTGCAATAATCCTTTATGGTAAGAATACTGTTGTATTACCCGCATCGTGTGTGAAATAAGTATGCTAAATAAATGAAGTGATAGACCTAATACGTAGTATCGGTTACCGAACGTTTATTAATTATGTAAAAAGCGATTACTAAACGGTACGGCTCGCTATGCACCTCGTTCGAAATGAAAATTATTTTGTTACACGAAGGTCGAGAACCTAGCTAACAAGGCCTTTTCGTCTAGGCCATCGCAGGTTCGGCCGGGTGGAAAGGGACACAGCCCAATATATCCAATTTACCCACAAAATTCCCGAGTTTCCTAGCCCACCCGGATTCGATACCCGGTCTTCAGTGTCATAGGCCAGTCTTAACCGCTCTGGTTTCGCCAAAAACTATTAATACCTCCTTTTATAGAGTGAAACCGTATCCTCGAACTCTTCGTTTAGATGGGGAGGTATACATTTATACAATTACATGCGTCGACAGCCAGACGGTCGAACCGTAA